ATCAGTGTGACCAAGAGCTGACCTGATTTGGTAAGGTCCTCAAATCCTAAACCTGTTATCGATCTGAATGCAGCTTGTATTTAAGGGCTTCTAAGCAGGCGTTTCCAGCCAATCGACTGATCTCACATGACTAACACCTGCATAATATATGTGTCTGCCCAACCTGTATGCGCGCGCGCACACACACACACACACACGCACACACGCGCACACGCACACACGCGCACACGCACACACGCGCACACACACGCACACACACACACACGCACGCACACACGCACACACACACTTTCATCCTCAACTACTGTAAATTACTCACTAAAGCAATCTGTGACATTTTCTCCTCAGGGTTGTGGTGCAGGAATTTGACGTATGAAAGCATAGGTAATAAATTGCTTCTTTCTAAATAACTAAGGAGTAGCTTGACCCCTTAAAATGGCTTGATTCAAGTACGTCAAAACAAGATGGACATTCACAGATGTGCATTTATTTCATATATAAGGACGCAGGGCAATTAGGGGAACACAGGTGACATCAATGGAACATAATCAAACTAAACGAGGACAGGAACATGACCAAATAAGGCAAAACAGGTCCAAAAGTCTGACACACACACAGTTGCGTCATCAATACTGTAAATTACTCAGTCTGTGACATATTTCTCGTCAGGGTTGTGGTGCAGGAATTTTATGTATGCTGACATGTCATTGTCAATCTCTCTGTTGAGAGACAGAAGATTTGTTTGGAATTAAAAACACAGTAAATGGCTTCTTTGTAAATAATATAGAGTAGCTTGACCTCCATCACTGACTTGATCCAGCCTGAAGGACGTCAACATGTACAGCAGAGGTGTGTTATAAGATGTTCATTTCAAATAAATTTACTTAAGAATAATGAAGAAATAAAATAAAGAAATTCATGTTCACTGGTGTTTTCATTTATAAATAGCAGATTTTATTTTTTATTTTTCTAGAGCAGTGGTTCTCAAACCTGTGCTGGAGTACCCCCCACCCTGCACATTTTGTATGTCTCCCTCATCTATCACACCTGATTCAACTCATCAGCTCATTAGTGGTGACTGCAAGACCTGAAGTGGGTGTGTCAGATATAGGGAGACATACAAAACGTGCAGTGCTGTGGGTACTTCATGGAGAGGTTTGAGAACCCCTGTTCTAGAGCAAATGTATGTCACCCCCTGCTGGATATCTAGACAGTAATCGTCACATGATTCGCTCAAAAGTGCTTCTGTGAACAGTTGATTGAGTGATTGACTTACTAAAGGGCAGAAGTCAGATTCATTTTATTTCTGTGAACAGTTGATTGAGTGATTGACTTACTAAAGGGCAGAACTCAGATTCATTTTATTAACGATGAGTTTGACAGCATAAACGCCCCTCTCATTATGAAATATTCAAATAATGTAGCCATTGACTTGCATGGTATTTTTTTTTTCCATACTAAGGTAATCAATGGCTACTAGCAACTGTTTGGTTACTAACATTCGTCAAAATCTTCTTTAGTGCTCAACTGAAGAAACTCATATGGCTTGGAGAGGATGAGAATGATACAATTTAAATTTTTAGGTGAACTGAAACTGATCACTTAAAGGGAAAGTTAAGACAGGATAGCAAACGTTGATATGTTGATATATGGATCGATTCCGATTTGAAAATGCATAGTTACAATTTTGTTCAGTAGGTCAGGGTATAAAATGAGTGATGTGAATCTGGAAAATGCTGTAAAGCTTTTAAATAGAAAAGCCCTCAGATTAAATTACAACGTTAGTGTATAGCTTCCTATTGCTCAAGCAGCACTGCGTTACGTTAAGGCCATCTGTCAGATTGCCATACAGGGAATAAAAGAACAGCCAAAATGAACTTTGAATGCAATGTAAGTCATTTCCGATAAAAGTCTCTGCGAAATGCATACATTTCAGTGAAGAACATTTACACACAAAAGGACACATGAAACCACTTATTATAATTACTTATTTTTATGACAGTCCTGCTATATAATTTGTGAGCTATATGTTACTGTCACGGTATGCTACTGTGAGGAGCGAGGAACAAGGATCGCAGAGAATGCAGGATAATTGCGATACAGACTTTAATCTTCACAAAGTTGGCAGGAACACAGGTAGCACATCATTGTCGAACAAATACAAATAATAGCAGACAGAACTACGGAACAGACAGGTCTTATAAACACGTGGAATGCAATTAGGGAGAACAGAAACAGGTGTGGCGCTAATTAATCAAAAACCATGGAAACTAACTAGGCAGGAATACCGACCATAAACGTGACATTACTACGGTGGGTGGGCGTCCTGGAGGCTGGTGCAAGACAGGGACACAGGAAGGCCTCCAGGGCAGATCAGGGAGCTCCGGGAGCCATGGCAGAGCAGGCAGACTAGTAAACCATGGCGGAGCAGATAGTTCAGGTTGCCATGGCGGAGCAGGGGACTTAGGAGGCCATGGCGGATCAGGCAGTCCAGGAGGCCATGGCGGATCCTCCGTGCAAAAAAATTTCTTGGGGAAAATTAGGAATTCTGGGGGGCGCTCCGGAGGTGCAGGGCTGGCTAACTTGGGGGAATCAGGAGACTAAGGAGGGCTGGACGGGACCAGCGGAGACGAAGGAGACTCAGGGGACGATGGAGAGCTGGATGAGACCAGCGGAGACGAAGGAGAACTTTCTGAAGCGTATTCTGGGGTGAGGATAGGAACTGAGAACTCTGGAGGTAGGGCCATGTCCAAGAGCGGCGAGTCAGCGGCTGCCAGCGGGCTTGATGGCGAGCTGGTTCTGGATTGAGGCCAGACGCTCTCCAGACACCGGAGGATCCCTTCCCTCCAGCTTAGACCAGTG